TTTCTATTAGACATTCATATAGAGACGTTTATTGTTTAAGTATAGACTGTAGCGGACAAGACTTGCGTCGAGATGAATATTATTCGTAATTCTTTACTTGCGCGAAGAGTATTTGTAAAAAAGGGAAAAGAATAGGAGAAAGAAGTATATAGAGTTTGCGTAAACGCGTCGTGTGCGGAAAGGAAGAAGAAAACACCGAGCTCTGCCCTGTAATAAAGAGGAGTGAGAGAGAGGGAGAGAAAGAGACAGGCGTGTTAATATCTGCGGAACGAATCCCGAATAATAAAATGCAAATTTTATTGCAACCACCGCGAGAGAGGCGGAGTAAGGTTCGTTTCCATTCGTCGTCTTCGTAGCATCATCTTTTTAAATACGTTCACGTAGCCAAGCGCACATCTCTCTATCGAAATATCCCGCGAGTTTCAAGATCGTTCCACGTACGTACGTTCGTTCGTTCGTTCGTTCGTTCGTTCGCTCGCTCGTTCGAACGACAGACTCGTTTCCAGCAACAAGAAGAGCACCGTCGACTGCTCCACGCATCGCATTTTATCTACTTTCCCTTCCCTTCGTTTCTCTTGTACATTCGCGTTTCTCGTTTCCTGAACGATTTCTAGCCGGAAATTGGTTCATCGCGGAATAAACATGACGATTAAATAACTCGTTCCCCCCTCTCTCTCTCTCTCTCTCTCTCTGTTAATTATAATTATCCGATTTTTCTCTATTTCTTTTTTTTTAAACTTAGAACATATAAATCGTAGAATGCTTCGTATGCGGATGCGATTATCTTAATCTATAAGATACACGCGAAAGTTTTTAACGGAGGTGTTCAATTGCGTCGAACCTTTCGCCTCTTCCCTGTATATATTAATGTAAACTGTAATTGTCGGTACAACAGATTATCCCAAGTTTACGATACGGTCGATACATTTGCTATTTCTTTTTTCGAGCATTCGAATATTTTACATAAAAAATAGTAAAATTGAAAAGATAAAATATTCGTTTGTTAAAAAATTAGCAAATGTGTCGACCGTATCGTAAACTTGGGATAATCTGTTGTCCCAGCAGTAATCTTTTATATCGCTCTAAAAAAAACGTATATGATACACCCCTATGCAATGCCCGTAAGGTATGTATACTTATCTAAATTATACGACATGCTATGAAAAAGTAAATATATTTCGTATTTTATACAGTTGCATGTGTTCGGCTATCAATATTCACTGCTTGTATCCCGCGGCTACGATCTCTTCTCCCCCTTTTGGTCGAGAGGTACACGTGGAATTTCAATGATCGTTCCTGAAAATCATCGCGAACGATCGTGTTTTATCTTTTCTTTCCGATTCTTTTCACTTCTACAAGAGTGTACCGCTTGAACA